AATTAATTAATTAACTTAACTAATTCATTAAAGTCTTGGATTTAACCATTCGGTCAAACCTACGTCGACAGAATATCCAGTCAAAGCCTAAGTCAAACGTGACCTAACCCGAGTCAAAGTCAAACCTGTTCAGTCAATTCACAATCCTCAACAATTCAATTCAAATAATCAATTTAATTCAATTAACCAATTTAGCCAAATTATAGCATAAACACATATAACGATCCAAACCATTAAATCTATTCTAAATGCTATTAACTTCATAGTACGGACCTGGATTACGCCGAAATCGAATCGATAGCTCGAACGGAAGACAAATCAACGAAATCAAACGAACGGGTCAAATTGAGTCAAAATACGAAATCGACCAATCAATCCGGCGTGGAGGTTAATCTTCCGGCGATATCAATCCGGGGCAGCGGCTGGATGCGGCGACGGTGACGGACGCCGGCGACAGTGGCGTAGCGGCAGCTCGACGGCGATGAGCAGCGACTGGCGGCGCTGCAATTCGACGGCGAGGAAAGACGCCGGCAGTGGAGGCGACGTCCAGCGCTCGACGTGGCGGCGCTGCACTCGACGGTGGCGGACGACCGACGAAGGCGAAACAGCGGCGCTGCACTCGACGACGATGATGGCGGACAACCGGCGAAGGCGAAACAGCGGCGCTGCAGCTCGATGGCGAGGACGACCGACGCTGGCAGTGGAGGCGACGACCACGGCTCGAAGATTGGGAACCGTGGTCGGCGGCGCTGGACCTGGCGGTGAGCGACGGACGACCGACGAAGGAAGCAGCGGCGATTGGCTGGGGAAGGGCGACCGAAGTGAAGAAGAAGAAGAAAGAAAGAAGAAGAAGAAGAAAGAAAGAAGAAGAAAGAAGATAATGATCCTATGGCTGAAATTAGTTTAGGTTTTATCTATTAATTCCAATACTAGTGGTTTGGGCTCCGGGCCCAAAATACCTGATTAAATGGTCATAACATGAGCTCCATAACTCCGATTCGCGAGCCGTCTGAACCGACGCAATCACAAAAATATTTCCTACGAGATGACATAAAAGTTGGGCATAGAATCCAAATAATTATAATTTTAACCCCCTTTTGGGCCCAATTCATAATCAATTGCTCTAACAATTTAATTAATTTTTTTGGGCCAGATTTCGAGGCGTTACACACCCAAGTCCAGAGGGGCCTGATAATCGATTATAGCTATGTGATAATCGGTTATCAAAAGAACCAACCCAGACTTGAGATTCCGCAGGACCCAATAATCGATTATCAGCAAGGTGATAGTCGATTATCACGTCTTGCTAGAAAAAAAACTGAGGAGTTCAGCGTGACCTAATAATCGATTGTCAGATTCTGTAAATCCATTATTAAGGCACGCTGGTTCCTGTTTTTGCCTGTTGGGTTTTCATTAAGACGTTGAGAGTTTTAGAAATGAACGTTTATGTTTCCAGCTTAAGTATTCATGAGTTTGCAACGTTTTGTATCGTTTATACTAACAAGTGTGTAATCGAAAGGCCTAATAAACGAAAAGTCATGACGATGTGGATGCACGTAGGTTTAGCCGGTAATCCTATGAATAACGATATGATTATACTACGAATTCTAAAGTTAGAGGGCAACGTACTCACCTCTAACGAAGGGGTTGACGGAACGACGAAATGCGATGAACAAACGGCGCTAACGAACGGACAACGAACGACCACATGCGTAGGCCTTCTTCTCTTCCTCCTTCTTCTTCTCCTTCTCGCCGGAAATCCTCCTGGAGCTGCTGTGGTCTGGCCGAAATGCACAAAGGGAAGAGGAGGAGAGAGTGAGAGTAATGGTTGGGAGTTACAAATGGGTGAGGGAAAATGAAAAGGAGAGTGGGGTTTTAAGGGAAATGAATGGGGAATAAATGTGAGTGATGATGGTGAGTTAAGGGGGATGGGGTGGCGTATGGGTGTAATTGGGGAGTTATCTCCCATTAATTCATTCTGTTATGTAAAATCTGATCTGAACAGTATGCGTCTTTCCCCCAAATGGGTCCAAATTGCGATCCGGTTGCGTTTCTAGAATCAGATAATTTTTATGACATGATCAGATAATTTTTATAAGGATTTCATTTCCAAACCCAGTCCGAGTTAGTAATTAATTAATTAGATTAATCAATTCTAATAGACTGGGTCGCAGGGCGTTACAAGTAAACGCTCAAGAACACGACAATTTCTTCAAGAATTGGCTCTCAAATAGTTAATAAAAGATAGGAATGCTTATGCAATGAAAGAGTATTGAAATGTTGAAGAATTGTGTGTAAAATGAGAGGATTTGGGTGCCATTTTATAGCCCAAAATGGGATAAACCCGTTGCTAGAGTTTCCAACAGGATGAAGACAAAATTTCCAGAGACACAGGCTGATAGTCGATTATCCAAGCTTGATAATCGATTATCAAAAGATTCCTTGTCCAAAAATTTAAAATTCTACCCGTTGGAGGACAACGGTAACCCAGATAATCGATTGTCAACAAGTGATAATCGATTATTGGTCCTCTCAGAAGATTTTGGGTTTTGGCTGCAAAGACTGATAATCGATTATTGCATAAGTGATAATCGATTATTGCGTGCTTCAGAACTTTGGAAGTTCAAAGCTGCAGGGGCTGATAGTCGATTGTCACTAAGGTGATAATCGATTATCACCAAACTAAAGTCTAGTCAGCTGAAACCCGTTTGGAAAAACCGAGGTCCAAAAACGAAGTGTTCCCAAAAGTAAAAAACAGGTTTGAAAAACATTGTATATGGTATAAAATAGTGAAAACAAGACTTGTTCGGTAAAAAACAAGTCTCCAAGGTCATACATCACGTGCGTACGGTTTTGACTGTTTTTCACGTGTTAGACCGATTGACCAAGATACAAAAGTGGTTTTTATAAAATAATTATTTGGGAACATTTTAAAAATGCTCAGAGGTAAAAAAAGGGTTTAAAATGTTGAAAACCACGGAGTTGGTTCGGGCGCCAAAACCGAACGCCGACCTAGGTGGTTTAGGTTCCGAGCAAGGACCAGAGATTTTAATTAAAAAAATCATCAGAAATATTTATTTTGATACACAAAAAAATATTTTACGATTTGTAAAAATTGTTTTGACTCTTTGAGAACCGAGACTTGAATTTATTGTCGGTTTTTATCACAAAAGACCGACTCGACTAAGTCTTCAATTCTTGATCTTGTCCTTGAGTCTTTTTGGTCTTGTTCCAAGCCATTCTTCACGCCTTGAGTTATTCATATCCACGACGGTTTGGCAATTATCAAAACCTGTCAGAAATGAACACGACTTTAGTTTATCGTACAAAGTGTGTTCCAACAAAAATATTTCGGTTCCGTATTGTTCGAGATGGTTCAGTATGGTTTCGGTACAAACCAGGATGGATAAATATATGTATGTAGTTTATACTTTAAAATATAACAAAATCTTTTAATTTTGGAAAATGGAAAGTACTTTAATTTTAAATAAAGAAAGATAAAAAATTAAATAAAAACTAATTAAATAAAAAAAATGCTTATTAAATTTAGTTTATATTTCACAAACTACATAGAACGAATAATAACAAAATAATATTTCAAATGCTTGTTAATAATATTTTACACTTTGAATACTATTCAGTTGTTTAAAGTATTGACATTAGACAACACATATTTATCCTCTGTATAAAGTATGGACTTTTTCCTTCGGTTGCATGCACAACGACCATTATCTGCTGTGTAAAGTCTAATTTATCCATTGTGTAAAGTTTCTTTTGTAGTAGTGTAGGAAAGAATTAATTGATGGAGGGAGTATAAATGAGTACCGAAAATAAGTAACAACTATATTATTTTATTAGATTACTTGTTAATAGTGAAGAGAGAACTTGAATTAAGATGGAGGGAGTAGAAAACAAAAGCACAAGAAACAAAGAAGTTTGAGATATGTTTGATAACGGAAGCTACTGTCTCGATTCAGACACCTACGATGCTTCGTTCGTAAAATTGTTGATTCCTACCCCTCTTAAAACTCGTATACATGTGAAAATGTGAGTTTATTTCCAGTGACAATGAAAAATTGAATTATTTTTGAAAGAGCGTGAAAAGGTGAGATTATTTGAGATAATTTCCCTTAATTAAAAATACTATTTCCAAATGAGATCTACTCAAGATAGTGTCTCATTCGCCTGATCTGATTTGATTTTATATGATAAAATTCCAATTATATTTATAAAATTATTTATGATCTGATCAGATTTTAATAAGAATAAATAATAAGGTAAAAAAACAAATTGAACTCAATGGGCTCTCATTATCACAAATCCGAAAGGGGCGAGTGCATTTATTCAGTTTAGTCGGCCCATTCTAAGGCCCATACGAATATTTCCACTCTTCTTTCCTCCTGACCAATCAGGAACCAAATCCCGGCTCCCTACGTGACTGAACGAACCACTGCGCACTGACTTCTAGCTCGCCGCCGGCGATGGTCGCCGTCCACACCATGAAGCACCCGCGTCTTCTCTTACAGATCCTTCTTCTCATCCTTCTTGCAGTTTCCGTCCTCTCATGGAAGAAAGAAGAATTCCGGAACTGCAATCAGGCTCCCTTCTGCAAACGGGCCCGTTCGCGCAAGGCCGGAACCTGTAATCTACGCGCATCACATGTCTCCATTTCCGACGGGGATCTCGTCGCCAAGCTCATTCCTAAAGAAGCGAGCTCAGAGAGCGAAGATCCAATGAAGCCGCTAGTTCTCTCCATCTCTGCGTACCAAGATGGTATAATGAGGCTGAAGATCGACGAGGACCAGACATTGCACCCGCCCAAGAAGAGATTCGAAGTTCCAGACGTGATAGTTGATGAGTTTCCAAGCAAAAGGCTGTGGTTACAGAGACTTAAAGAGGAGAGGATCGATGAAGATTCGGCTGTCTCATCTGTGATTTACTTGTCCGATGGGTACGAGGGAGTACTGAGGCACGATCCATTCGAGGTTTTTGTGAGGGAGAAGGAAAACGGGAAGAGAGTACTTTCCATAAACTCGAATGGATTGTTTGATTTCGAGCAACTGAGGAAGAAGCAGGAAGGGGAAGATTGGGAGGAACGATTTCGAAGCCACACTGACACAAGACCGTACGGACCTCAATCCATCAGTTTTGATGTGTCATTCTATGGAGCAGATCACGTTTATGGCATTCCAGAGCGTGCTTCAAGTCTTGCTCTGAAGCCCACCCGAGGGCCAGGGGTGGATGAATTCTCCGAACCATACAGGCTCTTCAATCTGGATGTCTTTGAGTTTCTCTCAGATTCACCATTTGGGCTTTACGGATCAATCCCCTTCATGGTTTCACATGGGAAAGCTAGGGGAAGTTCAGGATTCTTCTGGCTGAATGCTGCTGAGATGCAGATTGATGTATTGAGCTCCGGTTGGAATTCAGATGACTCTTCAAACCAAAGCCTTCCATTGGAAGAGGAAAGGATTGATACTCTTTGGATGAGCGAGGCTGGTATTGTGGACACATTCTTTTTTATAGGCCCCGGACCTAAAGATGTAGTTAGGCAGTACACTAGTGTGACAGGAACGTCCTCAATGCCACAACTGTTTGCTATAGCTTATCATCAGTGCAGATGGAATTACAGGGATGAAGATGATGTTTTTAATGTTGATTCAAAATTTGATGAGCATGATATCCCTTATGATGTTTTGTGGCTTGATATTGAGCACACAGATGGGAAAAAATACTTTACATGGGACAGGGTGCTGTTTCCCAACCCAGAAGAGATGCAGGGGAAGTTGGCTTCAAAAGGACGGCACATGGTTACCATTGTGGATCCTCATATAAAGAGGGACGATTCGTACTACATTCACAAGGAGGCTTCCCAGAAAGGGCATTATGTGAAGGATGCTACCGGTAAAGATTACGATGGCTGGTGCTGGCCTGGTTCATCATCTTACATCGATGTGTTGAATCCAGAAGTTAGGTCGTGGTGGGCGGATAAGTATTCACTAAAAAACTATGTTGGTTCCACCCCATCCTTGTATATCTGGAATGACATGAACGAGCCTTCTGTGTTTAATGGTCCAGAGGTATTGCTACATTAATGATTGCTTGTGTTCACTCCTTTTGCATGGGTCTCTCCAAGCATTGTTGGTTAACCATCAAATTTTGTCTCAAGAATTGAGTAACCTTGTTTAAAATTGTGTAATATTTGGATGTTGAAAAATGTGTACAAATATTGAAATGAAATCTGCATGAAATTTGTGACTCCAGCTTCTTGCTATATAAACTATTGAGAGGGGGCTATTTTCAATTTTCAAAATTTGCTTTCCTACATTTTTAAATTCTGGCACTTCGATTTGTTACATATTGATCATTGGAAGTAAGATCAATTTTTGTTTCAGTTCTAACAATTACTTTTTGTACCAGGTGAGCATGCCAAGAGATGTGTTACATCTTGGAGGTGTTGAGCACAGGGAGTTGCACAATGCATATGGCTTATACTTTCACATGGCAACTGCTGATGGACTTTTTAAGCGAGGGGATGGGAAAGATAGACCCTTTGTATTGTCAAGGGCCCATTTTGCCGGAAGTCAAAGATTTGGAGCAGTTTGGACTGGAGATAATACAGCTGACTGGGATCAGCTAAAGGTTTCGGTTCCGATGATTTTATCTCATGGCATAACTGGAATGGCATTCACAGGTTTTTAAGTCCCTTTTTTCTCAAATTATTTTGCTCTGCTATTCAATTTTTTTAAAAAAATATTAAATGTGATCATGTTCTCCTAGGTGCTGATGTTGGTGGATTTTTTGGCAATCCGGAGCCTGAGTTGTTGCTCCGATGGTATCAATTAGGTGCTTACTATCCATTTTTTAGAGGCCATGCCCACCATGACACTAAGAGACGAGAACCATGGTTATTTGGGTAAAATATTTTCCCCTATAAAGTATAAATACAAAGTGATTGTTTCATTGTATAAGTATTACATGACCAAGCTGTGTTAATTTTTTTTGGCTAGTTTCCGGGACGGGAATATTAGAGAGAGCAATGCATTGAGTGTCTAATGAAAACATTCTCTTTGTTTACTAGGCAGTAAAATTGCATGCATGTTGACCTCCTAGAAGCCAACGGTGTTAGATTTATATCGGATTATTGTTAGGTCTTCCTAATAGAGATATGGACTCCTGACCGTTAGAAGCAATTGGGTTACAACAACAACAACAACTTTACCCCAATGCCTCAAAGGATCCCACTCATTGCAGGGTAGGGGGGTTCAGATGTACGCAGCCTAATCCCTATGTTCAATGGCTGTTTCCAGATCACCCATAATGAGCATCGAAAGTTCCATTGACTAACTGTTACTCCACTACTAAAAGAAGCACAGATAGTTTAAGAGCCATTTTGCTTTACTTCATCTTAATCCAAAGCCAAATAGTAGTGAATATTTGGCTCCATCGGAGATGATAGAAGAAGAACCAATCGGGGTGATGTACGAAAATTCTGAGTGGGTATTTTTGAGACCCCCCCTATTCTGTTTGAGGTGAACCGTTTTAGGTTAGTTGGTATAAATCCAAATAAACATTTACATTTTTTTTGTATCATAAAATTCAGTGGTACTCTGAAGTCCGAACTATTAAAGACCCCGGAGTAGTTGCTAAATTCATACTGATGCATACACATTCAACATGTGCTAAATTTGATCTAATAAAAATTTTAAAAACAAGTTCTATATATTTGTTGGCAAACAGGAATTGAATAAATTTTGGTATTTTTGCATAAACATATTTTTTTCAAAGCCTGAAACATAATATAATTTTTATACTGGTTATTGTTTTTGTTATACTTATAATACTATTTACTTGATGCGTATGTGGATTAATTTGAATTTCAGTTTAGATGTCGATTAAAGTATTAAACTTTCTCACCTGCTATCTTAATTGACTTGTAATTGGGTATGACCTGATAAGATATATTCACAACTGAAGACTAATCAGGCGAACCTGCAGTCATAGTTCAGTTTAGATTTTGAATTTTCATTCAGACATTCTTGATATTGCCCAACCCTTCATGCCATTTTGGAGACTTTTCATGACATGTGGAATGCCCATCCCGGCCACCAGTTTTATTTTCTTTTGGTTAAACCTTTTGAGATTTCTTATCACATAACTCACATTCATAGTATGTGGGAGAACCTTTTATTGCTTCTCATTTCGAGGATGAAGTATGTGTATTTAGCAAAACTGCAGTTGTTTATCTCTTGAAATGCTTACTTAGGCTTGGTTAACTATCAATGGTTTATGGAGCTTTGGTTTCGATTGGTTTCTACTTTTCATTTCAGAGAACGAAACACAGAACTTATTAGGGAAGCGATACACATTCGCTACATGTATCTCCCTTATTTCTACACACTTTTTAGAGAGGCAAACACTAGCGGCATTCCAGTTGCACGTCCACTCTGGATGGAGTTCCCCAGCGATGAAAAAACTTTTGCCAATGATGATGCCTTGATGATTGGAAGTAACCTTCTTGTCCAAGGAATTTTCACTGAGGTGATGTTTCAAAATGCAGTTTTAAATTTTATCTTTGTTCATTTCTATGTAATAACACAAGAAAATGCTTTCATCCAATTTTCAAACAGAGAGCCAAGCATGTATCGGTGTATCTTCCTGGAGATCAGTCTTGGTATGATCTTAGAAGTGGATCTGCCTACAGTGGGGGTCTGACCCACAAATTTGAGGCTATGGAAGACAGTATACCAGCTTTCCAAAGGGCTGGAAGCATCATACCTAGGAAAGACCGTTTTCGTAGAAGTTCTACGCAGATGGAGAATGACCCTTATACCCTGGTAATGCTCTTCAACAAAAGAATTCCTGTACTAGAACACTACTGATTACTAAATTTGATTGGTCCATTGCTTGCATTAGTTTTATCCCCCATTCTTAAACTGTAGTGCTCACTCTTTCATCGATGGGTTTTTCAAAATTTGATTCCTTCTCTTATGATCCAAGCATTATGTCACTTACATTCTGGAGGAATTGCTAAATTACTATGAGAGTTGGATTTAAGAAATGTAGAAAGACATCTCTAGAAACAAGCACAAGGCCCATGCATCTATTTTCTTCTGCGGAGTGCGGACCCAACAAAATGGAAACATCTTTCTGTGAGACTGAGTTGACTGACCTTTGTGACGATAATGAGAATGATAATGCAACATCATAGTTGTTTAAGGCGTGATGCGCCTTGATGCGCGATGCGCAAATAATGCGCGCGCATCACGAACATGAGGCGCAAATTGAAACATAAGGAGCATAGAACCTCAAAATTATCAACAATTCCTATAAAATGTATAGCATCTCTAACATAGAAACATTTCTTATACAATTTCAAAAGTCTTAATAAAATGTTAGGAAGTAGCCAAGAATCAATGTCACACATAGTACCAATGACAAATAAAAATACTAAGAGTTCAAGAACAAATATAGCTACTTGCAAAAACAAAAAAAATGTTCTTTCACACAATAAATACCTCATTTATGGATGAAACAAAAGTACAGAACTGCATGAAAAAACATGAAAACCTAGCGATTTAAAAAACTGAAGCGGGCTAAAGAAACAAAAAAAAATCTGAGAAGCTCCTAGTGCAGTAGTGCCAGGAGAAGAAAAAAAGAGAAGCCCCAGTAATTTAAAAAACTGAGATCGATTTATAAAAGAGAAAAAAAATGAAAAGTGAGAAGCAAGTCAAGCGACTAACCTGAAAGAGAAGAAACACAATCGTTAAAGGGAGGAAGACTCGCAAGTCGCCGAAGTCCAAGAAGCGGAAGGAGAGAGATGCAAAGTTGAACGGTGAAAAGTGAGTCAAGTAGTCAACCCTAGTCTTAACGTAAAAAAATAAAATAAAAAACTCTGGGTTTGCGATGCGCACCTTATAGCACATCAGATCGCATCGACACATGCAATGATGCACGGTTATGCGCGCGCCTCCTTTACATTGCCTGCATCACACTGCCTGATGCGCAGATCCCTAGGCCTTGCGCGCATCGCACCTCATGCACGCTTTTCACAACTATGTGCAACATATAGTTCAACACACAAGTCCCAAGGAGATTTATTTACTCTGGGATACTGTTGGGAAAATATAGTAAGTTCAAATTTAAACAAGGTTCCAACATACAATGTTATAAGAACAGAAGATTATGAACAAGATGCATTTTGGTCCTGCCTAGACTCTTGTGTCTCTTGGGTAAAAAGTACTATTCAGAAAATATATCAGAAAGTAAAAATCTTTAGGTGTAGTTTGGGTAAGACGTAATAAAATGTAATGCAATGTATATGTGATGAAAACCTACTCTGAAAGTATATTTGGCTATATCGTGTTTCACTGCATTACGGCTTACCAAATGAAACATTAGTACACAATCAATCCTATTTTCAAAAGCTGAGAAGATAAAACTTGATTGTGGGAAATATATGCTGCAGGTCATTGCTCTTAATAGCTCCCACGGTGCCGAGGGAGAGCTCTACATCGATGATGGGAGGAGCTTCGATTTCCTGGGAGGGGCCTACATCCACCGCCGCTTCATATTCTCCAGAGGAACTCTCACCTCTCTTAACCTGGCACCATCTTCTGCCACTAAAAAGTTTTCATCAGACTGCACAGTGGAGAGGATAATTTTTGTAGGACTATCATCTGCTGGGTTAAAGTCTGCACTTGTGGTGCCAGGAGATAAGAAACTACAAATTGAGAGTGGGCCACTGCTTCTCCGAGCTGGTGCCCCATCATCGGCCCTCACTATCCGCAAGCCCAATGTGAGAGTAGCCGATGATTGGTCGATAAAGATCTTGTAAGCTATATATGGGAGAATGCACTGATCTGGTTTGCGCATTGATGGAAGGAGGCAATTAGGTCAGCAAACAATCTTTTTCATGGCCTCGTCCTTCCATCTTGCAGCTGGACCATTACAGTAAGTTACACTTAGTCAAGAAGTTGTGAGTGGTGATGATGACAACTTTGACAAAATAGGGATGCAGAGATTCAGAGATGTTCCAGAATAATAGGAAGCTATTTCAGGTTTCCACTTTCTCACTTAAACTTTAGATTCGTACCCGTGCGGTGTACGTGAAGAAAATTAGTACTAGTATAATTTTGATGGAGTGCGAAATTAAGAACATGGATTATACGCAAAAACACAGAGCTATTATCTTCCAAAAGCTAACTTTGATTGATGTTTTATTAAAAAATTACTTTAAAGTTTTTTTTAGACGACAAGTGATATTACTCCGTATTTTTTTGTGAAATGTGTCCTTTGAGATAGCTTTAATTTGACCTATGGTGGTGAATTTGGTAGGTGTATTGTTAACAGTGTGTTTGTACAAAAATGATTTGTAGCTATAGAGCTTGAAAATGCAACATCTCTACAAAATGGAACACTCCCTATAATTGAAGAAAATGCCTAAAAATTACATAGTATAAAACACGAAAACATGGAATCTGGCCCACTCTGAATTGTTGTGGTGATTAATACTTCTCCCCGGCGGTAAGTTTTTTGAGTTTTGTTCACCTTATTACAAAATAATATTTGTTCATATTTTATAAATCTAATAGCGCATATTGAGTTACTGTTTCTGAGTTGTATGTAATTTGGTTTCCTCATGAATTTTAAAGAATAGACTTTCTACTATTCAAGACTAAAGAAAAATTCAATTTGCAAGTGAATATGATTTGAAATTTTTGAATTTAGTACCGAATAAAAGACAACTATTGTTCTTCTCATAATTATGAAAGTGATTGTTTTTAAAAATAAGTCTTGCTTACCTCCTTTAGAGCATCACTAATGAAAGAGAATAGAGGGTGGAATAACTTGTATTGCAAAGCAAAATGGTAAGCGGGGTAGGAGAAAGTGAAGAGGGTGTGATTGGGAGGAAAATAAAATGCTCCTGAAGAGAACTCTTATTGGGTGTAAAGTGATATATTAAATCTGATTAGCTAAAAATAAAATAAATATTTTGAAATAAAGATAAAATGGAAAGGAATAAGTAGAGGGGTGAAAAAAATGAAAAAAGAGAATGATGTGACATGAAAATTGATGATATGGAGGAAAATATGAGGAGAAATGAATTTTAAGATGGAGGAATTTTTGGAAAATACCTATCATTTAAGGCTTTTACAAAGAATCTCCTCTAGAATGAGAGTTATGAACTCTTGGTTTATTTGAATAAAAATAGAGATTTATTTGTGTGATTTAATATCAATTATACTGTGTGACCATTAAAGTGAGTGTTTTTACAATTACTTTTTCTAACATTTGAAACATACTCCCTGTGCAAAAAAAATAGATATTTAAGTAATTAATTTTTTAGACCAGTTTTAATGGTGTTACCAAGGCTAATGATAATATACCACATAAAAATTGTAGTAATCCTAAGATGACTCAATCTAGAGTAACAAACAGCCCCACTACTTCTAAGATTAGAAAACCTTTGTCAACCTAGGATGTTCATTGATTATAAGTTCACTAGACAATTTAGATATTTTGTTATATATAGACAACTCAGTAGCTATAGGAATTCGAGGAATGCACCTAGACAACCTATCAATATTAGAAGATGTAGGAAATCTCCTAGTTCATCATATAGATATATGTATGATCCTAGGGTTTGTTGTTTTTGTGATCATGTTAAACACATAGCACCTATTTGCTTTAGCAAACTTAAGATTAGAGCTAAAAATAGAAAGAAAGCACATGTGGTTACTTATGATGTTATAACTAACCTCATGGACCCAAGAAGGATTGGGTACCTAAAACCCCCATATGATTGAATATTTCATGTGTGCTTGAAGGAATCAAGTGTACTATGGTACCTTAATAGCGGATGTTCCAAGCACATGACTGGATATGCATCTGAATTCATTTTTCTTAAATCAATTGACGGTGGAAATGTTATATTTGGCGACAATAACAAAGGAAAGATCATTGGAACCAGAACTGTCAGAAAAGACAAAGAATCCGGTATTGATAATGTGTTGTTGATCAAAGGCTCAAGCATAACTTGCTTAGTATTAGTTAATTACTCCGTATGTGATAAGGGTAATCGTGTCACATTTACTAGTCATTGCATGGTCAAACGACTTTGTGATAGCAAGCCTATCCTTACCGGGATCACATAGATAAAATTTATATGATGAATCTTGAAAGTACTCCTTCGGACTTTGCTCATTGCCTCATGGATAGAGAGTAAGAAATGTGGTTATGACATAAAATGATTGATCATACCAATATGGTAGTACTTAACAAATTAGTTTTAAAAAACTTGGTAATTGGTGTTGTAAACTAAAATTCAAAAAGAAAATTTTGATTCATGTCAAAAGGGTAAACATAGACCTCTTTCCAATAAAAAAAAGTTATCTCTACTACCATGTTGGATTGATGAGCCCTAAAGGCCAATGTATGAAAGTATCTAAATATTTATCAAAAATAAAAGGTCCTAAAGATTGTTTGGACATCTCGTGTATCAAAACATGACTTTAGCTCATAGGCTTAGCGCTCTAGTAGCATAGATTAGAACTACGATGTTGTGATTATCAGGCAGTTACATTAATAGAGGCTATGTTTAAAATGTCCTTAGTTGAATATTATGATAATACGGATGTCATAATATACTAAGACTAATACGTATGAGACAAGATAGCTGCGTGTCATATGCTATGGATATTGTAATATCTTAATCTATGTGTGGGTACATATCTGGGATATTGTACTGGACTGACCCACCATGAGAATGCTACATGGGTATTGTTTTAAGTGTGTTAGTAGTATTCTCATTCGACCATTGGTATAACTATCCTTAGACTTGAGGTCATTATGATGTTTAATATGTTGATTTATATGCTTTGATTCATATCTAATGCCATTTGAAATACTGGTGGACGTACAGTTATGTTTTGGGTATATAGTTAAACATATGTAAAGGCATGAATGACGTAGAAAGAATTTATCCCTTCGAGTGTGATGAAGTGTAATGTCTTCGAATCCACTGATTGATGTGTATGGACATACCCATATAAATTGATATATATGATATTAATGTTATTTGAATCACACAAGTCAATCTAAAAATTAGTAAACCAACAATTTAACTCTAACAAGGTTACACTTCTAATACCTCGTGTTAAATGTAGACATTGTGATAAAGGGATAAGAGGTGTACACATGTAATGTGTCGTTGGAGGTATTGTTGCAATGAACGTCATGTTTATAACTTGGGTAGCGATAATATAATGTGTTACTAAATATCACTTATCGTTTATAATATTAATTATGTAGTAATATTATTGCCAACGTTATAAATACCTAGAAGGGTCACACACATAAAATAATTGAACGGAGTAAAATATTAAATGAGAATGAAGTAAAATAATATTATATATTTATATGGGACAGGTGATGTCCATGTAAAATATATATATTGACATTTTAAGTATGTGATAATTAAGGTTGTCAAATATTTTTTTTGTATATAAAATAAAATATAAATTAAATATATGTATACACGGTAATATGTTACCGAAAAATATATATATTTACTGTCGATCGGTTGTACAGTAGTTTGTAATTTATCAACCTTATGCCGAAACATTTCTTCGTTCACTTCATGGTAGATCTCATTATCGTTAATGAGTCTTTGCATTAATTCATATCCACAGGTGATAACGTTAGAGTGGCGCTTCATATACGTCTTGTCGTATTCAACTTTCTTCATCGATTTTGGAATATATCCAGATACATTCATGATAATGACGGGTTTGATGTAACACTATGGTTGATCTCATTTCGAGGGAAGAAGGAAATATATTTGGTATGAGATTCAATTCATGAATTCATAAAGTAAGAAATCTTACTAGTTCTTACACCAATATCATATATAGGTTGGGAATTTTCGCTCTGAATAATTTTAGCTTGATCCTTGTGATGTCATTTCTTCTCTGGTCGTTGCACATACATTCCTTTGTTAGGGTCAAAACAGAGTTTCTTGATCATCATCGATAATAATCTTCATTGATAATGCAATCGCATTAACTATTTTGCAGCAGTTCCCTAGAGAGGTTTAACATAATGTTCAAGTCAGGATAGTTTTATTATTGTGAACGAGTCACGTAGTTCACAGACTATAGTTTTCAAAGATCGGTATCATGAAGTATCTTTGGTTTAATAAAGAATCGTGGATTTAGTATTTTGACACAAAGAATGGAATTCAATCTTTTCAAGATTGATCAAGCGAGGAATTTCAAGGGTATAGTTAACACAACAAGTTTGAGTCATTCAAGGATGTGAGTCACAAGATACAAAGATAGTGTTTGTGACTTATCGTTGCTAATTGTAGGTTTTCTGTATTCAATGTTTCACTCTTTGGAAGTTACTCAAGGAGTCATTGTTTTAGGAAATAGTCGTTTTGACTTTTCGTCTCAGATCTGATCGTATTTCAGGATAGCGAATCTAACTATTCATTGGTCTCAACATATCACATTGTCAGTAGACTACAGTATTGATGAGTACACTTTCATCTGTAGATAGTTGAAGTAAATTCACTTTTCTTTACGTATTTTGGCTGATGATAATTACTTTTCCATCAATGGTCAGGTTTCAGAGACTATATATATCACGATTATGAGAAGAGTATCTCACATTCTCACATTATGGAAGAAACTTCTCGAACACCTCCTTACACCATAAGATTCATTGGTCTACTTGGCAGTTATTCTCTTGGTAGAAATCCAAAGTTTATGGCTACTGCGGTAGATTTAGGAAGGGAATTTATAAGGCCAAAGATTAAACTTGCCTATGGTGGAGGTAGTGTTGGCCTTCAAGGAGTTGTTGCTTCAACCGTCTTTACCAATGGCGGTCTCGTTAGAGGTTTCATACCTAGGTACATAGCAACACGACGGGTCTATGGACCTACATACGGTGTAGAGCACACAGTTTCCAGCAATTACTACAAATATTTTGAGGTGAATCATGCTGTGGATGTTTTTATCGTTCTTCCCGGAGGAGTTGACACTATGGAAGGTTTGTTCACCTTGATCTCTTGGGCTTCTGAAGGGTTACACAATAGACCCATTGGTCTCGTAAACATTGACGGTTATTTCAATAACCTTCTCAAGTTCTTAAATGATGCGGTGAGGCAGAACTTCATGGCTTCCAATCAAAGGAAACTTTTCATTTCTTCTTTCTTTGTTGATGAGCTTTTAGACAAACTA